TGAAATTTGAAATTCTGTTATTATGTACATAAATGTTTAGGATTGTTATATATCTTTGATAAGTTGACAACTTAATCATTGTAACATGGTCTATGTTATTCCTAGTAATATTATTTGATCTGAAATTTACTTTGATATTAACATAACAACTCCAGTAGTCCTTTGATTAGTGTTTGCATTGTGTGTCCTTTTCTGTCCTTTTACTGTATATTTACCTATAGCATCATATTCAAACATGTAAGGTTCCTTATAGACAGCATATAACTGGGTAATATTTATTTTTGTTCTTTTAAATCCAGCATGGCTATCTCTTTAAATTGATACAATTTATACTTTACACCATTTCCATTTAGTGCAAGTATTGTTTAGTTTGGAATTATGCTTACTATTTTATTGTTTTCTATTTATCTCTTTTTATTCCTTTTTTTATTTCTGAATTACTTTGGGGTTTATGCATTTTATTTTAGTATTCCATTTTTATTGATCTACTGGATTTTTGACTATATTTCTTCATACAGTTTTTTTTTTAGTGATTGCTCTCTAGATTAAAATATACATACCTAAAGTTTCACAATTTCCTTACAGTTACTATTTTATCACTTCAAGTGAATATAAAAACCTTATAACCATATAGGTTCCTTTCCTCCTTTTTGTTTTAATTGTAATATGGGGATACATCTATACACATGGAGAAATTTCTCAATGTTATAATTTTTAATAGTCACGTGTATTTTAAAGACCTAAGATAAGAAAAATAATCTGTTTCCCAAATTATTTATCAATTCTGTTCTTCTTCATTCATTCATTCATGAAGTTTATAAGTTTTCTTGTAGTATAATTTCTTTCTTTCTGAAGAACATCTTTTAACATTTTTTAGAGCAAGTCTCCTGTCAATCAGTTCATTGTTTCCCCTCATATGAAAATTTCTTTATTTCACAGTCATTTTTTTTTTGAAGATATTTTCACTGGATGTAGAATTCTGGATTATGATTATACTGCCTTTTGGCCTCCATGATATCTGATGAAAAATCTGAAGTTGTTCAAGCCATTGCTCCCTATACCTAAAAAGTCATTTTTCTCAGCTGCTTCAAGATGGTTTCCTTTATCTTTGAGTCATGATTATCTTTGAATTTAACCATTTGGGTTTTGCAGAACTTCTTAAATCTGTAAATTTGTTTTTCATCAAATATGGGATGTTTTAGACCATTATTTCTTCAAATATTTTTTCTGTATCAATTTTTCCCTCCTCAGATTCCAATGGCACAAATGATACACATCTACATATTGTTCCATAGGTCCCTATTATATTTATTTATTTTCAATTTTTTTCTCACTCTTCTTCGGTTTGGATAATTTTTATTCATCTACATTCAGTTTTAATGGCTTTTCATCTGTCATCTCTATTCTTTTATTAAGACCATACAGTGATTTTCTTCTTTCAGATATTATGTATTTTTTCAACTCTAAATTCTCCATCTGGTTCTTTTTATCAATTCTACTTATTTGAGATGTCCTCTTTCTGTTTATTTCAAGAGTTTCCACCCTTCCTTCATTGAGCATGGTTATGGTAGCTGTTTTGAAGACTGTAAATTTCTGTCCTGTCCAATTTCTGAATTTAATGTAATGGAAATGTACTTATTTCATTATTGTTTATAATATTTGTTATTGGTTTTTGGTAAATTATAAAATTTAAGGGGATTCCTTTCAGCACTATATAATTAAAATTTTAATTAGGAATAGCTTCTGTATTTTATCAAACTATTCTTCAATATCTATTAAAAGGTCATAAAATATCTTTATAAATGTTAAGATAAGGTATTATATTGGTGGATTTTTATGATATTGAATTACCTTTGCATCCCTGAAATAGTTTTTGTTTTTACATGGCGTATTATTCCTTTGACACTTTGCCGAATTCTATTTGTTAATATTTTGTTTGTAACTTTGAATCTATACCAATGAATGTTATTTGTCTCTAGTCTCATTTTTCAGTGTTTTATAGATTTTGAAATTGACACTATATTATTATATGAAATGAATTATGGGAACTTTTAAACTTTTCTATGGTCCTTCATCTTTTCATACATGTTAACTTAATGAGATTACTTACCTTCTTATTTCTTTTCTAGCTTTGGGATTATTCCTTTTTTTGTTTACTATCTTCTATAAAAGGCAAATACATAAAGAAATACTTATAAATTTATGTTAATGGCCACACAACGTGTAAAGATGTAATTTGTGACAATAACAAAGACAGAAAGAGATACAACAGAGCAAAAATTTGTATTCTACTGAAACAAAATTAGTATTAATTAAACCTTGGTTGTTATAATGTTAAGATTATCATTTTAATTCCCAAGTTAACAAAAAATTAAAATAATATATGGAAAAGGAAACAAGAAAAAAATCAACAGTTATCCTATGAAAATCAATTAATCACAAATAAAGTGAATAACAGAAAAATTTATGAGGAAATGGTATGTATCATATAAAAACAAATAACAAATGTAGAAATAAATTCTTCTGGTAGCTGTAATTATTTTAAATGTACATGGACTAAACTGTCCAGTTATAAGGCAGATTAACAGGATTGTTAAAAATACATGATGTCAGAATGAGTTAAAAAAGAACCTTCCTGTATATGCTGTCAATAAGAGACTCATTTTAGATTCAAAGTTACAAATAGGTTAAAGTAAAAGGTTGGAAAAGATATTCCATGCAAATAGTAACCAATAAAAGCTGAGGTGGCTACATTAGTGTCAGACAAAATGGAACTTAAGACAAAAATTTTTATGAGAGACAAAGAAAGACATTATATATTGATAAAAATGTCAAAGCATCAAGAAGGTATAATAATTTCAACTAAATATGCATCCAACAACAGATACCAAAAAATATAGGAAGCAAAACTGACAAAAATGGAGAAAAAGGTCTAAAATAATACTTGGAGACATGAATATCTTATTTTCAGTAATGAATAGAGCAACTAAACAGAGGATAAGTAAGAAAACAGAGGGCATGAATTAACTAATCCCATCAAACATATATAGAACACCACATCCAGCAACAACAGAAAACACATTTTTCTCAAGTGCACATGGAACATTCTCTGGGATAGATCATATTCAAAACAAGCATTCAAATTTTTAAATATTAACATTCAAAGGATCTTCTCCAAAATGAAATGAAACTAGAAATCAATAACAGAAGAAAACTGATAAATTCATAAATATGTGGAAATTAAACACCGCAGTCACTATTAAACAACCAATAGATCAAAGAAGGAATTACAAATGAAATTAGAAAATATTTTGAGAAGAGTGAAATGAAAACTTATCAAAACTTATGGGGTACAGCGAATGCAGTGCTCTGAAAGAAATTTATAGCTGTAAATGCCTACCTTTAAAAAGAAGAAAGATCCCAAATCAATAGCCTAACTCTAGATCTTAAGGAACTAAAAAAGAAGAACAAACTTAACCCAAACTATCAAAAGAAAGAAAATGGTAAAGATTAAAATGGAGATGAACAAAATAGAGAATAGAAGAAAATAAGAACAGAAAAGTCCAGGACCACATGGCTTCACTGACAAATTTTACCAACATTTAAAGAATGAACACCGATTCTTATCAAACTCCTACAAAATAGCAGATGCAGGAACACTTGGTAACTCACTCTATTATACCAGCATTACCCAGATACCAAAGCCAGATAATGACATTACAAGAAAAGACAAGTATAGACCAATATTACTTATAAATATAGATGCAAAAATCCTCAACAAAATACTAGCAAACTAAATCACAGTATACACCATGCCCAAATGAGATTTATCACAGGAATGCAAAGATGGCTCAACACGTAAAAATCAACCACTGTAATGCATCACATTAATAGAATTAAGGTAAGAAAACCACATGATCATCTCAACTGATGCAAAAAAAAAAAAAAGCATTTGACGAAAAACATTGTTCTTTTATGATGAAAACACCCAACAAACTAGAAATAGAAGGAAACTTCCTCAACATGATAAAAGGCATTTATGAAAAACCCACAGCTAACGTCCTACTTAATTGTGAAAGAATGAAAGATTTTCTTTTCAGATCAGGAAAAAGACAAGATGGCTGTGTTTACTACTTCCATTCAACAGTGTACTAGAAATTGCGTATAGAGCACTTAAACAAGAAAGAAAGTAAAAGGCAAAGGAAAATTGGAAAAGAAAAAGTAAAATTATCTCCATTCAAAGATGACATGATGTTGTAAACAGAAAATCCTAAAGAACCCTCACACACAAAAATAGATCTAATAAATGAATGCAGCAAAGTTGCAGTATACAAGGTTAACACACGAAAAGCAGTTACAGTTCTACATACTCACAATGAACTGTTCATAAAGGAAATTTTAAAAAGGATTCTATTTACAAGAGCATAAAAAAAAAAACTCAACTAATAAGAGCACTAGCCATAAAAAGGAATAAAGTACTAATACATACTACAAAATGGATGAACCTCGAAAACAGTATGTTAGTGAAAGAAGCCAGGCACCTATTGTGTGATTCCATTTACATAAAATATCCTGATTAGATAAATCCATAGAGACAAAAAACAGATTAGAGATTTGCAGGGGCTAGGGGAGGGGAGATTGGGGAGTGACTGCTTAATGAATAGTGGTTTTTTTTTGGAATGATGAAACGTTTTGACACTAGAAAGAAGTGAAGGTTGCATAATATTGTGAATGTACTAAATGCCACAGGACTGTACACTTTTAAATGATTAATTTAATGTTATGTAAATTTTACCTCAATAAGAAATAATGTATGTAACACAGAAGGCATTATCATCATCATTGTCATCATTATCATTACTATGGAAAATAAAGTTTCCCAAATTTCATTTTCCTTAAAAAACTTAGATTATGAGAGAAAAAAAAAAGTAGACTAAAATGTAAAACTAGATGGTTTAATTTGGATAATATGTTCTTGTCTTCTCTCTTTTCTCTTTCAGATTATGTCTGGCCACTACCTAGATATTTGTGCCCCGTCTGGATTTCTTTGGATGTTTTATTTTCTACAGCGTCCATCATGCACCTCTGCGCTATCTCGCTGGATCGGTATGTAGCAATACGTAATCCTATTGAGCATAGCCGTTTCAATTCGCGGACTAAGGCCATCATGAAGATTGCTATTGTTTGGGCAATTTCGATAGGTAAATAACTTTCTTGGCCATTAGAATTGCAGCGGCTATGCTCAATACTTTCGGATTATGTACTGTGAACAACGTACAGACGTCGACTGGTAACATTTGCGTTTAATCGGGATTCTATTTAAGAATTATTCTTAACCTATATATCTGATATTTAGGTTAACAATAATGAAAGAAATGTAATGTATGTTAATATGTAAATGTAAAGTTTCTATTTATGCTGCTAAATTATTTTATGCATTAGTATGCCAATGAATTCTGCAACACAGATACATAATCTTTGAGATATTTAAAACGATTTGAAGACAAAGATATATGGTAGTCTAAATTTTTTAAATATAGCATTAAAATCTTCCAAAAGATAAATCTATCACAGAATATTAATCAATATTTTTATTCTAATTTCACATCTTCTTGAGTGGAAAAATCAATAGTGTCAAATGAATCTTCATGAAGTAAACATGTCTAAATTTATGCTGTTAATTGACCTAAAATATACTATTTTGTCTCTGTTTTTAAATATCTTCTTAGATTCTGCTTATACAAAAAAGAGAAAAAATCCATTTTTTAAAGATTTGGGGGAGGTTGAAGGGAGAGAAATGATCATCTTATTGCTTATAATTGAGATATTCACAAATGCCTTAAAAATGCTAATATTCAAGTCACAAAACTTAACCAATTGGACTGTAAGGGCTTTTACAATCTTTTTTTTTTTCTTTTGTTTCCTCCTCTTCCAGTTGAAACTTATATTTAGTGTCTCATTAAATAATTCCTCCTCAGAGTAATGTTTCTATAAAAGGTTCTGGTAAAGTTTAGAACAAGATAAGACATCTATACGGTCTTCACTGATATCATCTGAAGATTTTGACTCTGGGTTTATTGATAAAATAAATTTAAGTTTTAAGATTGTTCTATTGTAGGTGAACACACACAAACAACACACACTTTTGGATAAAAAAGCAACAAAACTTCTCCCGGAAAAAAAGTGAATCTATTTACACAATTTGTCCTACATATTCAAGGGCTCATGGATTTTACTTCCTCCGCTCCAAAGAGCTCATCTGAAAAAATGCCAGTTCTTACGGTGCTTACAAAGGAAATATACAGCGAAATTAAATTAGGGTATTAGGGGCACTGGCTTCTAATAATGACAGATGGGCAATCTGCAATGATGTTTGTATTAAAGACAACAAAAAAGTATGGAAAAAAATACTATTAGCATTGAGAAGCTAATAAGATAGTGAAGAATCCAGAAAAAGACAGAAATCCAGGAAGAATGACTATGACTTTTGGGTCACTTTTGCCAAGGATGCATTTGCAAACCTGAAGATGTGACTGAAATGTTGTGAAGCTCATTTCACATTCTCACAAGCAAAGAAGACCTAAAGCAGGAATACAGAGTATGGTAAGGGTCGACTAACTTGAGCTTATTTTTTGGATGCCAAAGACCTGTACACTAGAAATAAGGATGGACTAGGCTTAAACCACTCTTGACATGAAATTCAGGCCAGGATTAAGTTATGTGGGTAACCAATAAAAATCTGAAGCCTGAAAATTGGATTAAGATGATTTCATATTTTTCAAGTTTCCAATTTCTCTGATATAAGCAAAAAAATCACTGTACACTTCAAATTATTTCTTTTAATAATTTTTAATTCCAGTAGCTACAGTACAATGATAAACAGACACATGAAAAGACAAAATAACTTGAATCAGCTATAACATAATAAAAGATAATACAAACAAACTCGCTGACACTCAAGGTAGTGGAATTACCAGACATAGACTTTAAAGAACTATTTGTATTCTGCATATGAAAACTATAAGCTGAATTTAAATATTTCAGCAAAAAACTACAAACTACAAACAGGGACATTTAAGATTTGAGAAGCAGTTGGAAAACCTGGAGCTTAGGCATAACACAAAAACCCAAGAATGCAAAGGCAGTTTAGACATAACTAAAAAGAACATTACTGGAGGTCGATTAGAAGAAACAGTGATGAATGAAGCAAGGAGAATTAGAAGAATACAAAAGAGAGAGGAAAGAGTAAGAACAGACATACAACCTGGGTGGTGCCTTTGGTTAAGCGTCCAGCTCTTGGTTTCAGCTCAGGTCATGATCTAGGGTCATGAGATCAAGCCCTGTATCAGGCTCCACTGTTGGTGCGGAGTCTGCTTAAGTTTCTCTCTCCCTCTCCTTTTGTCCCTGCCCCCCATGCATGTGCTCTCAGTCTCTCTAAAATAAATAAATAAACCTTAAAAACAAAATAAAACGAGAAGACTTTTACAAGGTGAGAAAAGAATGGCAGAAGAGCAATATTTGAAGAAATAATGGCTTTTGGAATTGAAGAAAGACACCGATTCTCACATTGAAAGAACTCAACAAACCTCAAGCAGAATGAATAAGAACAAATCAACATTTGGATGCCTCATAACAACATTACAGAAAAAAAGAAAAAAATTGATTTTAAAGAGAAAAAAATAAAGAGATCATCTTCAACAGAATTATGATAAGATGGATGAATATCTTCTCAACAGCAACAATGAAAACTAGATGTTGAAATGACAGTGTCGATCTGCTGATAAAAAGTGAATGCTAAATTAAAACCATATACTCAGCAAAATTATACCTCAGGAATTGAAGTGAAATGAAGATTTTATCTGGCAAGCAAAAGTCAGGAGAACAAGACAAAATCAGAATCCTACTTAAGGAAATCCTGAAGAATGTTCTTAAAACAAAAGAAAATTGTCACAGATGGAAGATCGGAGGTGCAAGAAACAATGAAAATGATATATGTTGAATTATTGTGTTGTACACCTGAAACAAATGTAACATGTGGTCAACTATACTCAAATTTAAAAAAAAAAAAAAGAATCACTGGAAAAAAAGAAAATGGTAAATATGTGGTTAAATATGAATAAAAATTGACTGTATAAAACAAAAATAATTATGCCTTCTGAAGTTCAGAATATTTATGGAACTAAAACTCACAAAAAAAATAGCATATAAGTAAACAAGCTGAAAGCAAACTTTATTCATTATCCAGGAGAAAGATAAAAATGATATTTAATATTAAGCTTTGATGAATAAGGTATAACTTGTACATTCAAAGGCAATCACTAATAGAAAAGGAATGTTTAACTTCCAAATTTACAGAGGAATATTACAGAATAAAAAAGCAAATCCAATAGGGGGCAATAAAAGATAGAAAAAGTAACACGGTTCAGGTGGGAAAACATAAAAACGTACTAAGATGGCAGAATTGTAACCAAATGTATCAGTAATTATACCAATTGAAAATGGAACTCAATATTCTAATATTGTCAGACAGGATTTGAAAAAATAATCCAACTATGTGTTTACAAAAGGCATATATAAATCATAAGGAAAGTGAGAAATAAAAATAGATACTCCACACGAACAGTAACTGACAGAAAAATTGTGTAGCTATATTAATAATCTGACAGCATAGATTTTTCAGCAAAAAAGATTTTTTTAAAGTTTATTTCATAATGATAAAAGATTTAATTCATCTGAAAGACGTAGCATAATGAACTTGTATGTGTATAATAATATGGCTTCAACAATGCTAAATCAAAACTGGACAGAACTATAAAAACAGACAAATCTACAATCATGGTGTGAAATTTTAAACATACCTTTTTCAATAATTGTATGAGAAGAATGAACAAAGCAGAACTCATTAACAAGTGAAAAATATATATTCCCAGCATTTGAACAAGAAATATTTATCAAAATTGACCATATATTTGGCTATAAATCAATTCTCAATAAATTCCAAACTGTTGGAATCATAAAGTGCATATTCTTTGGCTGAAATACAAATGAGATAGAAATGTTTATCAAAAGATAACTAGGAGCACCCAGGTGGCTCAGTCGTTAAGCGTCTGCCTTCGGCTCAGGTCATGATCCCAGGGTCTTGGGACCGAGCCCCACATGGGGCTCCCTGCTCAGCGGGAAGCCTGCTTCTCCCTCTCCCACTCCCCCTGCTTGTGTTCCTTCTCTCCCTGTGTCTCTCTCTGTCAAATAAGTAAATAAAATATTTTAAAAAAAGATAACTAGAAAACCTCATATATTTGGAAATTAAGAAATTACTTTCCAACAAACTTTGACCCAGTAATTTAAAATCCATTGATAATTCTTCCCTAAATCATTTATTATTATGTGATTATAGAATGATAATTTTTCTTACTTTATCATTCTTTCTTCCTCTCTCAGTTAGCATTATACTGTAAGGACGAGTTTTCCCTCCCACCCTTTGTCATTTATTTATTCATATTGGTAAAAACTTTTGAATTCTGTTGTAATCAATATAATTTAAGTCATTGCTGTACTTAATTATTTTGATCCTCAAATTGTCCTAGATTGTTTCATGAGAACTCCTTTTAATATGTACCATCAGTTTCTGAGCACTTACTTTCTGGCATGAATGATGCCAGATTCACCTTTTACTTTCCATGCCCCAGTTCTTCAATCAGTCCTCTCATATAAGGAACTTGTGTTCTTTTTAGTGGTCAATTGTTTTCTAAAACCAGATATGGAATCTAGGTATGCTCATTGCTACTAGGACATTTTTGCTTCTATGTGCTTCTTGGCCTTTAATCCCAATCCAGTAACACAGGATTCTTCTGTTAATTCCCTAATTCTTTATTATTCCTCATTTTACTCACAGTGAGCAACTGGGTCCCCAAAAAGCATCAATAGATTTATTTACTTATTACTTATATTTTTAAATCCTACAATACAACAAATTCATTTCAGAATTTCTATCCTCATACCAGTACAATAAATAAAACGCTATTTTAAAATTGTTATTGCGATTTTTTGTCTTCACAATGTGTCCCACCAAGGGTATATAACCAAAGCATCGTGCTCAAAATGCTAGGATTAGTCTGAATTGTTTTCTTCTATGTGGTTCTGTTCCCAGTTGTTTACTGTTAGGGACTTTTTGGTTTCTGTGTACACTCAATATTGATTTACC